CCACGAAAGTAGCAATCGAAACAAATACATACATATTTTTGAGGTGAGAAGTGACCGGGAATACATCTTTTTTTTAATAGGCCCAAAATTGTCAAAGTCAACCAAATCACGATTTGCATGCAATCGATTTCTATGGTCAGTTTTGTGGCCGTGGTTTAAAGCGTCCAATATAAAGATCCAAACGGACTTTGAGATTTGATTTCTGAGAAATTTGGAATCGCACCCCATTTATATCGTTGCTCTGTTTTGCAGTTTATGGTGGGGGGGGGGTCGTTGTTCGTAAGGCGATGGGCTTCAGGTGGCGAATGACCACAGCTAGAGAGAGAAATTACTGGATATCGTGAGTGTTGTCCTAGAAATCGCCTTTTTTTGGGTGTTCCTTGATTTTAGGCATTCGTCATTGGTGTTTATTATTAGTGGTCTCCAACCCAAGTTTTCGTTTTAGTTAAAATAGGCCGGGTGATGGGCCCGGAATATTTCCCTAAAACGGACAGAGGCAGAACTGACACATTGTGCTAAACAGCGTCAGATGACATTGTGCTCTGGTCTGAGTGAAACCTCATGAAGGGTTATAATTATTTCTGAGTTGGCGCAATAATGGAGAAAAAAAAATATATATATCAGGTAGCCTACTTACAATCGTCTGTTGTCAAAAACTGGCTTTTCCAGGTTTTGACAGTTTGACCTGGTTTTTCATATTCTGTGGTTCTTTTAAAGGGAGCACGGACATGTCCTGCAAGATCTAGGTTGACAGATGCCCCAGTGAAATATGGCTAGCTACAGAATTCCTGATCACCCTTTTCCCTCTCAGTCTGAGACACAATGCGAAATCAGTGTGTTCAGCAAAATCAATCGCGACCTCAATTCGCTCTTTGTATACGAATCGTCATTCGGGAACGAAAGTGAGGCTCTCCTAGCTTGCTTCTCCTTGGCGACGTAAGTGTTCAGGCGGACAGGCTGTTTCCTCTTCTCTCTGTTTTTTTTTTCTCGAAACCCAGGCTTTGCTTCGTCTTCGGCTCAGTCGGCTTTGCAGTGGGGGCCTAAAATCCGTCCTTAAACCGAAGACGAAGCCGAAGCCAGTCGTTTCGAAACCATGTACTCTGGACCCGCATTTGCGCCTTTTTGAGATATGACAGAGGGCGCTATTCGGTTTGGGTAAATTTGTGTGTATATGCAAAATTGTGTATATACAAAATTACAAAATTACAAAAATAACAGTTTGCTCTGAATAGCGCCCTCATTGTGTCCAACATAATTACAACAAAACATGCTGATGCTTTGCCCTTATTTGTATTTCCTTCAAGTGTTCGAGTACTGCGATTTGAGTTTATCGAATCCCGTTAAAGCGGGCGTGAACCAGCGTCCAATCCTTAGGAAAAACAAGATTTTTTTGACACGTCGACGGCAAAACACCTATTTTGAACGGCGCTATCGGAACACTCTTATCAAAATAACAGATGGTATCCGGTATTATTGTGGTTGCCTCCCAGGCAACACTCAAACAAATTGCGACAAATTGTTACTACGGGGAGAAGGAAACATACTCCTTTCTTCTTTAATAAGTGTATGGCAACCTCGGGCAGACATCAAATGTTGAATGTTTGCCGTGTTCTTACGTATTCATTGTTTTCTTTAGTCGCGCAAAGCCCGTTGGTCAATATTTGGCGACGGGGCTGGCTGGCTGGCTAAAATAGAGCGTGTCTTTTCTATCATTCTCCCGCTGTCACTTCAGGCCTTAGGGTCGTGGGAAAAGTGGCTGGAAACGACGGAATGACTGTTGAGAAATAAAAGTAGTTGAAGATTTCTGATTGAAGAGACGCTCATTGACTTGTAAAATGCGGTGTTTTTTTTATCTGAAGTGGGCCTCTCTTAAGAAGCAACCTATTTAAGGGCAGTTGTTAAGACTTAATGACTGCTATAGGGCGCCAACATTTCGAAAGCATTCTTTTGCTGTTGATGGCATGCCCTTGTTGAAAACTCAAACAGAAGTTGTTCCTCATGCCAATGCCGTAATTACTCTCTAGTGGTATTTGTCGGACAGGGAAACCCTGGGACATCATCGTCCTCATAACATGGCTCCGGCCCGCACCCCCCCCCCCCCCCCTCGTCCCCGGCACGCCTTTTCCTGCTGGGAAAAGTTCCTCTTGTGATGTCAGCTGAATTAATGAAACTGCCCCCCAAATCTTCCCAAATTTGTTCCCAGTATTCAAAGTTTGTAAAGGAAAACACCCCACCTTAGGCGCGGATAAAGAGGGGGGGGGGGGGGGAGTCGAACCCCCTCCCCCTCCTGCTCTGACACCCAAAAATATATATAAATAGGCTTAATACTAATTACCTATTATGTCCTTGCTGTCCGTTACATAAGGAATCCGACATAAAACAATCTGACGGGCCTGAAACCCCCCCCCCTGCAAAAATTCCTGGATCCGCCCCTATACCTCCGCCCCAATAGACCAGTATACGCCTGTCTTCCAACAACTCATAAGTGGGGAAAAACCGAAGCAAGCATGGGCCGACCAACCATCGGTATCATTGCTCATGCGGTGCAAGTTCAGCTATATTCTGATTGAACAAAAAGTTCAGTTTAAAAAATACTAAGTTAAACAAAAAGAAATGTTTCACGAGCCCACGTTTCGTGAAAAAACCATCTATTGTGGAAAAGGATATAACACCTGCATGCAATGCATCTGAGCTGGATTTAAACACTTTGATTTATACAGTTCAAGTAGAAAGGTAAAGGGTGAAAGACCTTTATTAGCAGGAACCGAGCGCCCGTCTCTCTTTTGTTAGCGATTGGGCCAGACTCATATGCTGCTGTGGGGGGATCGCCACACCTCCTCCACAGCGAGTCTGTTGCCTTCCCAGCATTGAATAATGCCGGTACCCATTAACACATGAGTTGAGAGGAGTAATTGAGGTGAAGCGCCTTACTCAAGGGCACAACACGCGGACAAGGCGGGGCTCGAACCCACAACAACACGATCATGAATCCTATGCTCCACCGCTAGACCACACGTGCAGTTAAAGTGGACTTCGAAGTTTGAGCTGTCACCTAATGCCACGCAACATATTGCCGTAATAATGAGTCAGAATCGACTAAAACACAATAAGTAATGAAAAGCAACAATTGAAGATCAAGCAAGATTTATAACTATCTTTCGCACCCAAACTGACGCCCCAACCCCCAATGCTTGCAACAATGAATCGAACCACGATGTATCAAAATCGATAAAGCACGCCTCGATGTAATTAAGTAAATATCAGGTCGTCAACTTTGTGTTTTATTTTCGCAGCCAACAGCCACATTTTCTCGGTCGTTCAAAAGTGTACTCGTCACTTTCCCGCGAAAGGGACGCGCCCCATGTTTCTCACCTCCGCACACAATGCGCTGTTGACACAATGGACAATGTTTACCCTTGCCTCGTCCATTTGAAACTTTGTGCTTGTTTTATTTTAAACAGATACATATTTGTTCTTATATCCATATGAGCTGGATCGATTTTCGGCATAAACAGTGAAAAGTGTCATCTCTCTGTCATGCTTTGACTGTTTGTTTAATTCAGGCGATGTCTGCGAGTTTTGATGGGCACACACGAACTTAAGTCGTGGACCTTGCGTCACGCACACGTACACACGCGCGCTGAAATTTTATTTCATTAAACGAAATACCAAGAGAGGGCGCTAGGCACAATAAAAAGTGGTCTTAAATTTATTATGACCAGCCTGCCCTTCCTTTAAATTGAAGACACGTCCTAACCGTGTTCGATGGGAATCTGTTTCTGTTTTGCTTTTCATTTTGTGTTTATTATTTGTTTTGGTTGTTGATGTTTTCCTCTTTTTTCGAAGAAGGTGTTGCCGCGCCTAATCTTATGCCCTGGAAATATATGAGAACACCTATCTCAATGAACTTTTCTCATCTACTTCATTTAAAGGTAGAATAGATAATTTGCAGCTATCCAAACAGTAACCGTAACCGACGACATTATTGTGAAAAGGCTTACCTTGTTTAAAGATATTAATGACATATTCCTTTCGGGCATGCTGTCATTTTGAAGAAAACAACAAAAGAGGGTCACTTCCAAAGATGTGTCAAGTGACAAACTTTTAGAAATTTCCGCTCATCCGTCCTCAGGCCTTCTAATTTGTAGTTCGTTTGCACTTGGGCAAATTCGTGAATGGGTGACAACTGGCCGGCTGAATGAACATGTCCCGAATGCTGATTTCGGCATTTAGTGAGGTTTGCGGTAAAACCATTTGGAATAAACCCTTTTGAGAAGTGGTTTTGAAAAGAATCGGTTGGTTGTAAAACTCGACGTGTCACGAGAGGGCGCAATTCAAATATGACTCGGCAGCTGTCGAATTGAAATCCAACTCCAGCATATTGTGTTTATGATTATATTTGTTGTAAATGTTTTCTCAAAATATACAACATTCACAGAGCTAAAAGTTGATCAGCTTAGTTATTAAGCCACCATCTTTAGTTTCAATACACTTGTGTTAGTTCAAATGAAAACAATGCACAAAATGGTCTAGCCTACCTAATCACAAAACTAAAACAAAAAACAACGAGAGACATGAACCTAAAGATATAAAAGAACACTATCAACAATTGTGCCCCGTGCTCTCCGGAAATAAATACTTTTTACCAACGAGTGTTTATTGTATTTGTATAATTTGTTTGAACAAAAACACTACCCTTTCCGATTGTGAGCATGATGGTTTTGCGGCAAAATCTCTGCAAGAAAATAAGGTTTTCATTTTTGCGCCGGGTCAAATAATTCGAAGTTCAAATTAATTAGATCATTTTAACGTCCGTGGATGATTTCGTTCGATGGCTCATATATATTCGAAAGTGAATGACTTTTATATTGATATGAGAATTTTCTTGAACTGGCCCTTTTTGAGATCATAAAATAAAAGCGAGCGCCAGCGCGCGCGCTCGAGTCGAGGCCAGCCCAGCTATCCAGTTTTTGGAACAAGAGGGCGCCCTTCATGTATTGCACTGCGTTTTACTAAGTTACGAAAGTGGCCCGGGGTTCAGAAATCCGGACAAAACATGATTTCGCATGTTCGTAATTCTCTGTAAACGAAACAAAAGATGGAAGGACAAGGGGAGGGCGCTTCTAGCAGCAGTTTGCTTGGAGTGCTGGATTCACCGGCGTATTTATACCTGCTGACGATATTTGCATGTAAGTGCATAGCTGCCTTGAGAATTGAGTAACTCCACCAGCTGACACTTCAGGCTCACATTCATTCACATGTAGCGCTGGAGACATAACCTATTCGTTAGAGTGTGGTAGCAAGAGACCCTAAAAAAAGGGCCTCTACAAAAATGATCCATTTTCACCTTTATAATCCCACCCCAGATTCCATGGACATACCTCACACCATTCAGCAGTCATTCACAAAGCTAATCCTAATGATCGACTTGAACCCCCCCCCTAGCTGGAGTTACCCTAGCCCCATAAATGTGGCCTATTTACTGGACTGCCTCCGTAAACATAGGCCACACATCCACATGTACAAAAATCGTGTCGACGGAGCCAAATTTTGATTTTCACATTTAGGCTTAGTTTGTAGGTTTTTTTGCTTTAGAAGCATACTCACCCTCTTTACAGGCTAATCAGAAAGTGCTGCCTTTTTCAGATGTATATTTTTCGTGAAATTTCCAGATTCATTTTTACACGTTTGCGTATCAAAATTTCAACATGAAATTTCACAAAAATTAGACATCTGAAAAAGGCAGCACTTTCTGATTAGCCTGTAAAGAGGGTGAGTATGCTTCTAAAGCAAAAAAAACCTACAAACTAAGCCTAAATGTGAAAATCAAAATTTGGCTCCGTCGACACGATTTTTGTACATGTGGATGTGTGGCCTATGTTTACGGAGGCAGTCCAGTAAATAGGCCACATTTATGGGGCTAGAGTTACCCAGCCCTGAGTTTTATCATTGGGTTGTCATTTAGGACAACCCAATGATAAAACTCGGGGCTGGGTAACTCCAGTTCCCCCCCCCCTCCCAAAAAAAAAAAATGTGAAAATTGTTGACGATTTTGGCGGATTGTCCATAAAAACCGTCCAGTTCCAATGGCTGTCGTCCATCTTGTTTACTTAATTATGCAAATGAATGCATCACGTGATGATTATCGAAAAAAATTTGCACGATGTATGTGGGTACCACACCGCTTTCAAGCTCCGCTAGTGGGTTCAATTTTCGTCTGGTGCGTTGTCTAGCTTTCCACGACTGCTTTTCACGACAACGCACCAGACGAAAATTAAACCTACTACCGGTGCTTGAAAGCGGTGTGGTACCCACATACATCGCGCAAATTCCAGATTTTACCGAGCGATAATATTCCTCCCATTTCACAATTTAACATGTTTAAAGCCGCTCAATATTTGTTTTATAATTATATTGATCAGTGTCATAGCCTTGTCAGTTGATTGAACTTTCAGTTCAATACAAAATTGGTGGAAAATGTATTTCTCTCTTCCAAACCACCCCTTCATGAAAATGTTTTAACCCAACTCTGTAGCACTGGCTCTTTGGAACAATGCGCGGTACGCGAAACGCTCAACGCGCACACCAGCATGCATTTGCACGCAAATACCGGTACCACGTCATGGAACAAGATCCATGATCAAATGGGACCTTTTGAGCCCTGGCGTGAATGGGAGCAATAACGAATGTCACGTGATGTGAGTTCCACCAATCCATGATCAAATGGGACCTTTTGAGCCCCGGCGTGAATGGGAGCAATAACGAATGTCACGTGATGTGAGTTCCACCAATCAAATGACAAGGATCTGTATGTCAGTTAAATATAATATCAACTATCCACCCTCAAACAAATATTTGTATGTATACTACTTTCTTTGTCTGTATTATTTTTTGTTAGGTTATCCACTGACGTATATTTCTCGGACCTATTTGCACGGGCAGTCCCCATCAGTCAAGCATGCCTACTTCATCTTCTGGGGCCTACTTCTCATGTTTGCCAACTTCGGTGAGAAACTGACTGAATTACATTCCAAAATGTTTACTGAAACCTCTAAGGTGTAGGGCTGTCCCAGTATACCCAAATATTGGATAATCAACCGAATTTTAGAATAGGTTTTTGCTAGTTTGAATATTAACCCTAACTCCCTTGGCCTTTTTGCTACCGTAGGATGTATAGTGGAGCTGCTAAGCGAAACATCGTGCACTTTGTGGTAAAAGCATGAAATTTGGCATGTGGGGTCAAAATGGGCTAAAAATCATTTTAAGATCGGGACCCATCCTGGATCTTGCCCATTTTGGGGGCGGAGCTTGATTTTTCAAAAAAGGGGTGCAAACAATACAAACTCATGAAAACTGTATTTAACATCAAATTTCCTTGTTTTTTTACGCTTTGAAATAAACTTAAACATGAAATATAACATTCTAGCATTCTAACACCTGTTCATTTTCCACCCATTTTGTGGGCGTGGTCTAAATGGTAAAAGAGGCGGTATATATTAGCAGTTTGGTTCTAATATGGAAAACATCATTCAGTTTGGTGGTAAAATTCTGAAAATTGGCATGTCCAATTGAAATGGGCGAACATAATTTTTAGAGGTGAACGCATCTTGGATCTTGCCCATTTGGGGGGCGGAGCTTGATTTTTCAAAAAGGGGAGTGCAAAAAAAGAAAACTCAGAAAACTGTATTTTACATTCACTTTGTAAAGAGGCGGTACATTAGAGCAGCTTGATTCAAACGAGGGAAAATCATCATTTTTGCTGGTAAAAACACAACTTTTCTATCGGTTAACTATGTTTACCATACACTGTAAAGATAAGTTTAAACGGTTGCAAGACTAATTGTTGCCCTTTAGGGGTGGAGCTACATTTTAAAGTAGGCGGCTATAAAAAAAAATCATATCTAAATTGTTATGATTGTCTACAAGTAACTTACACAGGGTGAGTCAAAAAAGGAAACCCAAATGGCAGGACAAATTTGTTTAATGAAGTTCTGCATGTAGCACTATCAAAATCAAGATATGAAAGCCCAATTTATAAGCTTTGTTTTAGTACAAGAGTCATTCAAATCACTTATGTACTTTGCAAGTTACAGAATTTTAAACACAAACGCCGTCTTAAAAGTTCTGTCAGCAAAACGAAAACAATTCACATATAGGGGGATGCGCTGGATTTGTTTTCGTTTTGCTGAAAGAACACACACCATTTTTTGTGATACGTGGACAGAACTTTAAAACAGTGGTTATGTTTAAAATTCCGTAACTTGAAAAGTACATATATGAGTGATTTGAATGATTCTTGTACTAAAGAAAGCTTATGAATCGGCTTTCATATCCTAGATTTTGAAAGTACTACATGCAAAACGTTATTAAGAAATTGTCCCGCCATTTGGGTTTCATTTTTTGTTCACGCACCCTGTATACTTACAATGGCGGCATTTCCTAATTGTGCATGTATTATAAAAACTATGGGGATCACAAGGAGAGGGAGGGGAATTAGGGGCAGCCCAATGAAGGATTTCTTGAAAGTGCTCTTCTAATATGTTTAATATATATATATATATATATATATAGGCATATAAACATGAAAATGTGCACAGAATATACGTCCATTCAGGCGCGGTTCTAGAACCAATATTTTGGGGGACTAGCACGGTGGATCCAGAATTTTTTCAGGGAGGCGTGCTGAAATGTTGACCGGTTATTTTTTCCAGACACTTAGGCCTCCGAAAATCAATAGGTGGGGAGGGGGGGGGGGGGGGGGGGGGGGAGGGGGGTTCATGCCATATTTTCAATGGGGAGCGCCAATAAAATCCTATAATCATTCACACTATATTAACTAATGCACCCTTGTCACTGCTATTTCTTCTTTAGGGGGAGACCGTTCGCATGTACATCACAATCCTTCTTTATGCTATAAATGCAATTTTTTTTTAAAGGAATTTATTTTGAGGGGGCTAGACAAAATTTGTCTAGCTACAGCCCCCCCCCCCCCGCCCCCTCCCCCCCCCCCCCCCCCCCCCCCCCCCCCCCCCCCCCCCCCCCCCCCGTAGAACCGCGCCTGCGTCCATTCCTTGCAGTGTGTACTGTTGGATTTATATTAGATGGATGTTGGGACTTGGGGGAGTAATGTGTTACTGACTGAAAAGGAGGGAATAATGTTGTTTTTTTCGAGAAATTATGTAACTTCTTAAATAATGCGTTAGCAATGTCCAGTTTGCTGACGTCACGATCCTAAAACCTCACAAAGTCAGTACGTTTTTCTATGTAATATCTAAGGGTAAGTTTGGTAAAATTTGGATGAATGGTTTTAGGGAATCATAGAAAAAAAAATTGGGTTGAAAGAGTTTTCACAGTTTAAGTAAAGTTATTTTTTGTACCGAGTTTTCTTAACTACACGAAAACAAAGGAATGTCCACACAAGGTATGTAACGTAAACCTGGGTGTGTGTGTGTGTCCGGACAAATCTTGTCAGCGCGATAACTTGAGAAATACTTAAACATATGAACTTCAAATTTGGTTCGTGGATTGTTCTTGGTATTATCCTAAGAAGCCTATTGCATTTGGGACCGAAAGGTCAAGGGTCAATGTCACACTGGCTACAACAAAAGAAATTTTGTCAGCGTGATAACTTGAGATATACTTTACATATGAACTTCAAATTTGGTTTGTAGATTGTCCTTGGCAATCCTAAGAAGCCTTTTGCATTTGGGGCCAAAAGGTCAAGGGTCAAGGTCACAGTGGCTAAAACAAAAGAAATTTTGTCAGCGCGATAACTTGAGAAATACTTTACATGTGAACTTCAAATTTGGTTTGTGGATCGTTCTTGGTCATAGGCCTATCGCATTGGGGGTCGAAAGGTCAAGGGTCAAGGTCACAGTGGCTAAAACAATAGAAATCTTGTATTTATTCTGAGATCATAGGGTTTAGGGATTAATTCATATAAAACCTACACGAACGTGTTTGCTTAATTTTCATTCATACAGATGTGAGTAAATGCTTCAAAATTGGAAGTACCAGTAAAAGCAAATGCCATGTTTTTTTCATACGAACATGGTATCATTTGTACTTTATGAACTTTGTTAATATTAATTTTTCGCGATTCACATAATAAATGCTGTAGCTTTTGCGCAGAATTATTTGCTTTATGATTTCAAGGTTGCCCCAACCCAGCCTTGTGAATGACAAGTGCATATTTGAAATCTGAAGCATTTACTCCTTAATATTCATACGAAACGTACAGATGGGAGTAATGCAAATGCCAGTTTTTATTCATACGAACTACCGTATGGTATTATTTGTACTTTTTCGCGATTAACATTAATAAATGCAGTAATTTTTGCGCATAATTATGTGCTTTTATATTTTCAAGGTAGCCCCAACCCAACCTTGAAATATGACAAGTAAATATTTAAAATTTGTAGCATTTACTCCTTTTTATTCATAAGAAACGAAGTATACGCTTATAGTGTAGCAAAAGCTTAAAGGTAAAAGTAATTATTTTCAGAATTTAGCAAACGGTTTTTAGTAAAAGTGTTTGCTTAATTTTCATTCATACAGATGCGAGTAAATGCTTCAAAATGGTAGCAAAAGCAAATGCCATGTTTTATTCATACGAACATGGTATCATTTGTACTTTATGAACTTTAATAAATGCAGTAATTTTTGCGCAGAAGTATTTTACTTTATAATTTCAAGGTTGCCCCAACCCAGCCTTGTAAATGACAAGTGCATATTTGAATTCTGAAGCATTTACTCCTTTATATTCATACGAAACGAAGTAAACGATAAATATTTTTTTTCTGGTAATGAAACCAAGGATCCTCAAATGTGCATGCCCCAGGCACTGTAGCTCGCAAATCCCGAAAAAAAAACGTTGAGAAAAGACAATGAGAAGAAATTACAGTTTTAGAGGTGGGAGGAAAACCCCAGAAAAATAGTCTGGGGAAAACCCACAGAATCAGGTAGGGACTGAAAACCCAATCCACATGTAGACCATGGGTGCCGATGCACAGCGCATTGTGCACGTAAACGGCATTGCGTTCGTCGCGTTTGATGCGCTTTTTTTGTATCTGTCCTCCAGCACGTGACCCTCCCCGGTGCCGCTTTCCGTTTCGGTTATGATAGTTTTATTTTCTGCAAACTTACAAACATGTAAAGCTTTACATTTTGAAGGCCATTTACTCAAGAGCAAATGGTTTTTAGTAAAAGTGTTTGCTTAATTTTCATTCATACTGATGCGAGTAAATGCTTCGAAAGTGGTAGAAAAAGCAAATGCCATGCTTTATTCATACAAACATATGGCATCATTGGTACTTTATGAACTTTAATAAATGCAGTAGTTTTTGCGCAGAATTATTTTGCTTTATAATTTCAAGGTTGCCCTAACCCAGCCTTGTAAATGACAAGTGCATATTTGAAATCTGTAGCATTTACTCCTTTTTATTCATACAAAACGAAGAAAACGATTATTAGGCCAAAAAAGGCTCTGGTTTTTGGTATGCGCGCGCGTCGCCATAGCCATGCGCGTCGGCAATGTAAGATGATGTCTTTCAATGTAAGATGATGTCTCAAACCACCAAACTCACTGGTTCGACTGGAATCCTGCTGCTGCACAATTTTAACGTGTTATTTCTCATAAAGTTATTTCTCATGTCTAAGTTTATTTCAAGCATGAAGAACAAAGGAAAATGGATGTTAAATACAGTTTTTCTGAGTTTTTAATTTTTTGCACTCCCCTTTTTGAAAAATCAAGCTCCGCCCCCCAAAATTGTGCAAGATCCAAGATGTGTTCACCTCTTAAAATTATTTTCAGCCCATTTTAACTAGACCTGCCAATTTTCAGGATTTTACTACCAAACCGAATAATGTTTTCTATATTAGAACCAAACTGCTAATATATACCGCCTCTTTTGTACATTTAGGCCACGCCCACAAAATGGGTGGAAATTAACTGGTGTTCGAAAGCTAGAATGTTATATTTTATGTTTAAGTTTATTTCAAACCATA